TGGCGGGAGGCGCTGCGGGGGAGGGGGCTGTAGGGAGGCTGCCAGCTGTGGAGAAAGCAGGCAGCCAAAGAACGTAACAGTGGAGCATTGCACAACTTTAAATGAGTATGCTCCCTAATTGATCAGCAACGAAACAATGTTAAGCGGGACGACTTTAAGTGAGGAGTTACTGTAAGTCCATTTGAGTTCAGTTAAACATATATTTATTTTTGAAAGATTGGGGACTTAGTTAGAATTGGTATACTCTTTGGCCTTGTCTACACTACATAGTTTTGTTGACGAAGTCAGTTTTTGTCAACAGAATAGTGGCGGTTTACGCACTACAATGCTCCTCCTGCCAATTTAACTCTCCTGATATGCTGACAAAATAAAACCACCTCAATGAGAGGTGCATTGCTTTTTGCAGCAAAGTCAGATTGACACAGCATCAGTGTAGACACTGTGCTTGCTTATGTCACCATAAATGGCCTCCAAGAGGTGTCCAACAATGCCCATGCTGACTGCTCTGGTCCACAGTTCGAACTCTGCTGCCCTGCAGCCTGGTACACAGGCATCTGCCCTTCCCCCCTTTAAAGGATTGGAATTTTTGAAATTCCACTTCCTGTTTGCTCAGTGTGCAGACCTCACATTGCATCTTCCCAGCTGACCATGACGGCTCCACACAGCAAACTTTTCTGGAGGTACTTGCCAATCTTTTGCTAAAGGTTCCTTAGCAGTGCTGCTTTTTTTTCCTTCCCCCACTATAGGAAACTTTGCAGTGCCAGTCAGTAATCACTTCTGCAGGGACCAAAGCGGCACACAGGCAAGCAGCATAAGGACCCAGTCTGAAGCCGCACACATGCAGGAGATGCATCCTTGTTTACCCTCTGGAGTGAGATACCAGCTTGAATTTACCCCCACCAGTGGAAAACGGTGGCAGAATTTACAATAGTGTCCCTAGTCACTTGCACTGATCCCCTTAAAAAAAAAACACCTAGACCCTTGGCTCCATCTTGGACCCTCTCTCCCCTGGGCTGAACTCACCATGTTTAGTGCTGTTGCTGAGCTGTGTGCTTGCCAAGGGAGAGTGAGAAAGAGATGTATTTAACTATTATGATTCAATGCTGTGAGTGCACTCACAATACTGCCTCTGTTCGTTGTTTCCTGTGTTCTGGAGGGGAACTTCCTACACACCAATGGAGTGCCTCCATCAGACAAGGAGGCGACCCAGGAGCATAAGGAGGATATGTTTAGGGAGGTGCTCCGATCATCTGATGCCGCAGATCATGATCACAGAGAGAGACAATTCATGAAAAATTGAAAATAGCCTGGAAAGGAAGCAGCACCAAGAGCGTGTTTTAGAGGGGTGGGAGCGGATGATAAAACTGATGCATGACCAAACAGAGATCCTGAAGTCCCTGATTGCACTGCAGTCAGAATATGTGTGCTTGCCTTCCTCTGCAGCCTATACAGAACTGCGTGCCACGCCCTCCCCTGGCCTGTCGCAGTAGCCCCTTCATTTCACCCCTTTGGACAGGTAATAATAGCTGGATTTGAACACAGCTATGAGTGCCTCCTTTAAGAGAGTGCTTCTCAGAGTCCTCTCCCATGCAAGAAATCAAATCCTGTGTATTGGTTATTGCTGTTTAATAAAAATGCACTCATAGAAAGAAAATGAATCTTTATTTTTTCCTACACACAATGGTTGCTGCTGGAATTCATACACAGTGGCAATTGGCACATTTGCAAACTATAAATCATGCTCAGGAAGCAATCCTCACAAGGGTTGTTCCAGGTGGCAAGTAAACAAGCCTGAATGAATGCATTACCGTATTTTCCGGCGTATAAGACGACTTTTTAACCCAGGAAAATCTTCTCAAAAGTCGGGGGTCGTCTTATAGGGCGGGTGCTGAAACTTCCGAGCCGGACTGGAGAATCTGCGGTCGCCGCATATGGTGGGGGGAGCTCAAAAACGGCCGCGGCCGCATCCCCGCTGTATGCGGCGACCGTATGAAAGCAGCAAGGGCGGCGCTGTACAAGTACGGTAGAAGAAAATCCACTCACCAGGATTCATGGAAAGAAGTGACTTAACGCGGTCCCGATGACGAGGTGAGGGGGCGCCTCACTGGGAAGGTGTAAGTGAAGGGCGGAGCAAGCTGCAGGTGTCCGGGACGCCTGGGGTATGGAAAAAAGAGAGAGAGCAGCGCTGTGCCCAGAAAAACACGCCTCTTTCACCCGTCTGGCCCGCCCTTGTATCCTAGTACCGTACCTCCTTCTCTGCCTCTCAGATCTCGCTCCTGAGGACCGCAGTGAAGCGGCGCAGGCGCGCATGTGCGAGATCTGAGAGGCAGAGAAGGAGGTACTAGGATACAAGGGCGGGCCAGACGGGTGAAAGAGGCATGTTTGCGCTACCGCTCTGATAGTCTTGGAGACAGGGAGGGCTGGGCAGGCAGGGAGAGCTGACCAATCCAAACAGGCTTTGTATACAACAACCAGCCAATTGCCGGTAAGGTACATCGCTTGCCGTCATTGGCTGGTTGTTGTATACTGGGTACCACATACAGTACAGCACCAGTATCTGTACCTGTTCATACAGTATAGCACCAGTACATACAGTACAGTATAAAAATGTCCAACAGCCAAAACCCCATCATGGCTCCACCAGCAAGAAGAAAGAAATATGAAGCCAGTTTCAAACTTAAAGTTGTAAACTTTGCCAAGGAACATAATAACTGCGCTGCTGCAAGACAATATGGAGTAACAGAAAAGATGGTTCGGGACTGGAAAGCAAATGAAAAAGCATTAAAGAGTATGCCAAGGGGTAAGTGTGCATTAAGAAGAGGCACCCCACATTGGCCAGAACTCGAAAAACATGTAGCAGACATGGTGAATGAGAATCACCAAAACGGTTATGTAGTGACACGAAATAAAATACATTTGTTTGCACTTCAGTGGGCCAAATCTAACCCAGATTTTCTACTACCCAGCTGCTATATAAATGGCTTTGTCTGATTATTTTGTTGAATATTTTAGT